GCGGGTCGGGGCGGAGCCGGCGGAGCCGCCTCCTCGTTTCTAGCCTCAAATAGCTGGCTGATAGCTGGCAGGGGTAGGAATCAGAGTCGTTTGTTAATTAAAAATAAGCTCTAAAGACTAATGGGTAGCCCCCGTCTCCCTCACCCCGGTGATAACGGGGCTGTGAGCCCTTTTACGTGTGCAGGGGTGGTGGTTTCGCTAGTCGTCCTCCGTTTCAAAACTTTTAATTAATACAAAAAAGAAGCTTGCTCCCCTGTAAAACCTCTTTTTGGTTCTGTAGCGGTTTCATACCAGTTTTTTTTAATGTGTTAAAATGGGGGGTGTGTGTGAATGTGTGTAAATTTTCGGAAACAAAGCATGAGTAGTTTGTTCTCCTTTGCTATGGTAATTCTTCAGATGACATTTGTTGAAAACGTGTGTTAGATTTCAGAGAAAAATAATGACCGTTAGATGCTGTTTCAAAAAGTAATTGAAATACTTTTTTAAAAAGATAAGGTTGCTCGTTCCCTATGAAAAAAAAGAAATGCAGCTTTTGCTTGCTTGCACGGTGGACGCAGTCGGCATGACCAGGATGTCCAGTGTAATCGTCTTTAGGCATAAAAATCTAGAGGCCAAAGGTTGTGAAGAACTTCTAGCATCAAACAACCGTGTAAAACTTGCACCTGTTCGAGTTGTAGCGTTTGTGTAGAGAAGCAGATATCAAAGCTATTAGAGCAATAATTTCTCCTGTACAAATAACGCTGATGTACTTAAGGATATTCTGGGTGCTTGCAGGATAAGGCAGTGAGATAACGACTTTAAATGGTTTCTGGAAGGAAAAAGAAATCTCATATAAAACACATAAGGAAAGATTCAAACTTTACAAATCCTGGGTAATCTTAAGTCAGTTGGTTTTATTGCCAGGAGGGAAGCTATGGTACCATCATACCAGAAGAGCAATATATCATCTGTTTGTATGTTTTATGTAAATTTGTTTTGCATGCACAGTGCTTTATAGGTTATTTAAAAGAACGTGCTTTTAATAGTTGGTCACTTTTCAGCCTCCGGATATATGCTGTTTTGTAAGTATTGTCATCTTTCACAAATGATTTTCAGAAATGAAAACCAGAGTGTTAGTAGGGGTTACTCTTCTCATATTATTAAAAGCTCTCTGGGAATGTACGTAGTTCTGTCAGCCAGCGGAGCAGCTCTGCCTCCATGGCAGTGGTAGTCAGACACAGTCTGTACACTGAGACTAATTATGCAAAAAAGATATTAGAGCATTCCAGTTTGCAAAAACCCACTTTTTGTTTCTTTAACCCACTTTAAAATCACTGGCACTGAGAATTGAGAAAGGAGGAAAAAAACCTGGTATCATACAGAATGCGCATTAAACATACTTGTCCGCGTCAGCTTTCAGCAGATACTGCTTCTATTCTCTGTTTTCAGCTTCAAGAACTTGTATGATTTGGGCAATATTTTCAAAATGGCTAGCGAAAACAGGAGTATAAATGCCGTTACCAGACAGTAACCCACTTTTTCATGCTTACTTTTTTCCAGTATGTATTTTGCTATTCCTTTCAAAAAAAGGAACGCTGACTGTTTGTTTCTTTTTAAAATGAGATCAACTTTAAAGGACTTCCCCCCGCCCCACTTAGGAAAACTCAGTAATTCTTGTATTTATTTACAGCGTGTTTAAGCAGATCATGTGAGTTTAGAAATCTGAAGTATGATAATTTTGCTGTCACACTAAATTGTTTGGCCACCAAGCGTTAGCATACAGCTTTAAATTATGTCAGAAGATTATGTTTTCCTGTTTTAAATAATATTTTTCTCGCCACTTCACTTACTTACCTACTCTTGTTACCATAAATTTCGCCCCAAAACTAGAGATAGATGTTTCTGCATTTCTGTGGGGTATTTACAAAAGTTCTCTTTTTCCACCCCTGAGAAGGAAAAAGCTATGCTTTCAATGGAGATTGTTAATATAGGCATATAAAACCAAAAAGTATACATTTTTTTCCTACACTTTATATTAAAGCTACTTCTGAAATTGTCCTCATGGATTGTTTTAACAAAGGATGGACCTAATGTTTGGTGCGTGTATATAGCTTTGTCAAACTTCTGGGGGACAGGAATGTTGCAGTAGACAGATTACAAGAGTATGTTCAGAGCCTCCCAGTGACATTTCCTAAATTTATTTGACTTGAAAGTATTATTCTATTTTTTAAGTGCAACTTCAGTTAACATTTACAATTAATACTAAAGCTGACGACTGTTTGAGTTAGTACTAATACTGCGATGGAAGCGGATGGGATGGAGGAAGAAAAGGATGAAAGAGGGGCCGAAAGTGAGTTGTTGGCTTACTTCACTTTGTGGTGTTAAATGCAGTCCCTTTTTTGTTTGTTTGTTTGTTTTTTTTTCTTCTTCCTTGGAGTGCTTGAATTTTTGTTAATTTGCTTCATCCCAGAGAAATTTTATTTAGACTTTTTTCTTGCTGAAACGTAAAATTTCCCACTGAGTTTATTTTTAAACTATCTGCCGTGCTCATTGCAAAGCTCACATGCATTTTACCTACGTAATCACAGAAGCTCAAGAAGGTTCTCTAAAGTTCAGATTTGTCTATGTGCAGCGGTAAGGTGTGTGCCATTTTCTGCGAGGCAGGAAAATGTCAGGAAGATTTAACATCTAACTTTTCCAGTTTGAAGTCGCAAACCGAACCCCGTGGGTGCATAGAAACCACATGTTCTGCTCTTCCATTCTGTTGGATGTTTTCTGCTTAGGGAGGATTGTGGGTTTTGTCTTAGAAGGATGCAATTTCTTTCTGAATAATTCCTATGGTATCAAGAAATCGAATGAGCTATATCATTCTGTAATTTAATAATTTTTCCTCAATCTCTTCTGTAACTATATTGCCTGCCTGAGGGTACCAGCAACCTTAATTTCACTGTTTTATAACCCACAACAGTTAACACTTGACCTAGGTCATTAACAGGATTATCAGCAAATTTGTTTAAGCTTTTACTGACAACCTGAATTGCTTCAATAATATTTTGACTGTGCAGACAGGAAACTTCTTGTAACCTCTCAATCTAGCATAAAATTAATTTCTTGTGAACACAGCTACCAAAAGATCAATACGGTAAATCTGCTTACAGTACTTGGTTTCAAATAGTGTCTGTTTTGGTTTACAGCAAGAAGGTTCCAATCAGCCTCTATTTTCAGTCTGTGTTGGATTTGGAGATGTGGTTTCATCTTTTGTTCATTTATTACCGTCTCAGAACTTCGTGTAACTGCATGATTAAATGCACCATTTTATCTGGGCTGGTCTCTGGTAACACTTAAAATCGCTGAAGACGACTTACTGTGCCTTTGTAGAAATGACAGCTCCTGGCACGGTTTTGAAAAATGCAGTGTTTGCACGTGGAGCAAAATGCCTGCCCAACTTTCGCATGTAATTTTGGGAAAGGCTGGCAATACTGGCAACTTTTCGGTAGAAGCTAAAGGGCTTGCATGGGGAAATGCCTTTTACAAATCCCGCCTCACTGTGTGTCAGATACCGTTAGGTCCAGATAAGTCTTCATGTATCGTGACACAATTCCTCCTGGTGCCTCTAGCTTGCTCTTGAGTGTTTATCTGCAAAAGAAGTTAAAAGTAGGTTTAGAAATCTTAATGTGATACCTTTTGAAATTTAATTTCAGAAAGCTCAAAGTCATGGGGGTCTAGAGGGCTGTTTTTCATACAGCTGTATCTTATTCAAAGCTTCTGCACTTAATCCTAAGCTGTACGATTAGACAAATAATGAACATGTTTTAAAATTCACACCACGATGTTTTTAAAATCCTGTGCAACAGGAGAAGTAAGTTGGGTAAATTCCTCATTTTCTGTCAACATTTTTGATAGCAGGCTGTAACACGTGGAATAATTTATTTTCTTTTCTTTTCTGTTTGTCACTGAAGTTTGGCTTGACTTACTGCTGATTTCAATACGGTGTATTAAAAAGAAAAATCACTACATTGGCTATAGCAAACTTAAAGCAGATGTTTGAAATACAAAGATGTCCAAATTTGACACAGCAATTAATTCTTATTGCAGTTAATTTGGATACAATGTATTTGCTACCTGACAAAGCGGTCAGGGCATAGAAACGGGATAGAAGTCTTCCGTACTCTCAGCCTCAGGAAATTAGGCTTCAGAGGCACTAGCAGAAGGGAAAGCATTAAACAGATAATAGGCACGCTAAGTTTAACAGTTGTTTACATGAAATCTTTGCAAATCAGGAGTGCATTCTGATTGAACTTAAATTTTTCATTCCCATCTGGGAAGATATACAAATTAGTTTCAATTTTTTATATTATCTGCCAGAGTTAAGTAAATTGCTATTAGTATACTTACTTCTGATTCTGTTTGAGAACTTGCAAGTTCTCCTCTAGGAGCGTATGTCATGGCTCTTGTTCTTGTAATCCCCACTTGATGAAAGTTTAGAAATACGGATGCAGGTGTTCATTTTCTTGTTTTCAGAGCTCTGGATTTTATCACCAGCGAGGGTCACTACAGAGCTGTTACCGAATACAGCAGTACTGTTTGTAGATTTTTATACGGAGCCTGAGTTAGTTCCATAGGGTACCTGTAATTCATGTAGGTACCGCCACTTTGTAGCTGCTGTTTGATTTTTCTTTAAAAGTATAAACAACTGGAGATACGATCATGTCCTTGCTTTTGTTAAAGTTCAAAGCTCTACTCAGCGGAGCTGGTATTGAAACACAGAAAGGTAATTTTGATACCCTGAGGTGCAAAACTGGCTGGAGTTGTCCAGAGGCGTTGGATAAAATTTCAGAGGTGGGGCAGGGGGATCTCACTAACCTGTCACCTTTCTAAAAGATAATTTCAGCTTCCGAACAGTACCTTTTCTGGAGTGAGATGTGGGGATTTCTAATTTTTTTTTTTAAACATTTCCTTTCTTATGAAAATGAATGGTTCGATTCGTTGAAGCATTGTTGAAAATAAATATATTTACGAGGAGGAAAAGACTTACAATAAGAAATGGTAGAGTGAAATGGAAGAATTTTTGTTTACAAACACGTGACTACTGTCAGGTGATCCGTTTTGCTAAAAATTCACTGCAGTGGTGTAGCCCTTCTTATTTCCGTAAACACTTTAGAGCAGTAGCTTTTATTTTTTAATATTTAAACTGTTTTAAACAAGAACCAAAACTCAAAAGAAAATAGCTTAATTCAGAAGATTAGATATGAACTCCCAGCGGTGTAATTTTGGAAACAGAACGTGGCAGTAATTTGCTGCGTTAGGATTGTGTTCCCCACTGGTAGTCTTGTGCTTCTTAATTTCTTAGGCGCCTGATAAATCCTAGCACAAGTACTTATTTTGCAGTGTAAGTACTCATTTTGCAGTGTGAAACTGATGTAAGGTTAAAATTCTGTCCCTTGGACTGAAGATTCCTTGTAAATTTCTGCAGTGAATGAATGAAAGAAGTAAAGATAGAGAAATAAAGATAATCCTGTCTGAAAGAAATCTTGGGACGGTGACAAAAGAGTTCCAGACTGTGAGAGTGACGGGTAGACTGAATGAAACACCAGCATGTACAGCCTTAAATTTGCAGAGATGTTATTAAACCAGACACACTGTAAGAAGAAACTTTAGTGCCACGCTTCTCTCTCTTTTTATTAAACTACTGTGTCCTGCTGTTTCAGGCAAAATATGGAGGAAAATCCCATTAATCTGCTGGAAAAATATTGATGAAAGAAGAATAGCAGACCAAACGAACAGTGGTTGAAACTTGCTAGCAATGAAGTGAACAATAGGATGAATGTTAAGATTCAGTCAGGCAGTTTAGTGTAATAAGGTGTGGGACTGGTGCTTTCTTTTTTTTTTTCTTTTTCCCCAGCTGGTTTCTCATACCATATTTATATCTATATTTGGATGGAGAGGTTTGCATTGCATTCGTCTCTCCTTTTAAAAATAATCATTAAAAAAAACCTGCTAAAGTATAGCTGCCTCACATAAGAGGGCAATTATTAAAACCAGAACTTTTAAATTGGTGCCTAGGAAAAGAGGGTTTTGTAGAAAATGTAGAGTGAAGAGTTGCCATTTAAATAAAAAATAATTAAAGCACCAAAATATGTTTTGGTCCATGGTAGGCTTCCCACAAACTTTGTGCAGTAACAGATAGCAATGAGTGACATTGGATTTCTTGATTTAGTTGTTGAGAAGCTAGAACGCAGCTAGAGGGTTTTTGCTGTTTGCTTTTTTTGACAGGCAAGGCTTTTTGAGAGATGGCTTTTGGAGAGGGACAGAGAAGAATTAAAAGAAGAGCATAGGTAGGCGGAGATGAAGTGAAAGTTGGACCTGAATGTTAGAAAAATCAGACCAAAATCCAAACATTCTCCAATTAATGATAGTGTTAGGAACCCAGAATTCAGTGCTGACAATGATCTCAACACTGAGCAAAGCACAAATTAAGAAATTCCTTGCCTCCCTGAAAGTCTAAGCTTTGTTTACATTAGTAGGCTTCATGACTATGATTTACCAGTGGTGAATTTCAACAGTGTCTGCAGTTTAGGCAGGGTAGAAGTATTTTTACCATTCTTTTTAATCTTTCTGTAATGGTGCTTTCTTTTAATGAAAAAAAAAAAAAAAGGAAAACAAGTTATGTCTGTTCAGCCTTAATGTTCATGACCAGCTGTGGAGGACACCACTTAAGGCATTTATATCAAAACAGGTTCTGAGATGGTAAGGGCCTTACCCTGCCAAAACTTTTCTCCCACGGATGATTTACCTCGGAGAGCAAATGTCCTAGCAATGGTTGAGAGTTCAGGTTTTTTGGAGAAGGTGGTTACAGCTATGGAAAATATACTGTGCTCACCCAAACCATCTAGAGG